ACCATAAGTATTTGAGAGCATTCGATGAGCCTCAGCCGCAGATTTCTTCATATTGAAGCAGAAAATTAAAACCTCCCGCAAATGACGAGAATTTGACTCGTAAACTGACATTTTCAATCGAGAATAACTTTATGATGCAGACACAAATCGACTAATGTTTCTATGGGGTTATGTTGACAGATGCCCAAGTTTATGACGTCTATTTATTTCGACCACTACTTACCGCTAAAGCCATCTGTAGGAAAACAGCAGAAGCAAAGTTGTACCCCTAATATATTTTTTATTAAAATCCCAAAACCCCATTAAACCGATAACACAAATAGATTCATTATATATGTTGCAAAAAACGTTGCGTCCTGGCGGAGGCAGTTTTTTCGCAACATATATAATGAATCTATTTGAGTCATCGGTTTAATGGGGTTTTGGGATTTTAATAAAGAATATATATATAAAAAATTGGGACTCAAGGATCGGTCTAAGTATGGAAGGTTGATTCTCCGGGTACGATAATCGAAGAAAAATTTCGATATGTGCGTTTAACATACTGGACAATTTTATCCTCCCACAATCATATTAATATTAAAAAGTAATATTAGTATTTAATAGCACTAAGACATCCGTGCTTGCTCCTTATGTGCCTTTTCAAATTTTACTGTTAGTTAATCTATTCGAGGAGTTTTCTATTATTTCGGTTTAAATTCTTTTGTCTTGTTTTCTATCATTTTTATGTAATCTTTCTCTCTCTCTCTCTCTCTCTCTCTCTCTCTCTCTCTCTCTCTCTCTTTCTGTTATTATTCTTTATAATTAAATTTAAATTTTTATTATTCTTAAATCCAATTTAATTTCTTAAAATTAAATTTACATAGATATTTTTATTATATGGAATATTTTATAATATAATGTTAGTAAACTTTAGGAAATATATTTTTCAATTTCAATAATAATCTCAATTTTATTAAATTCTCTTTAATAAAAAATAATTATTCGAAATCAGAAATATAGAGATAAAACATCTTCTGTTAATTAACATATTTGTCGAAGATCAGAAAAACAAATGGACTTTTAATTTTTTATACATGCAGAAGACAGCGGAGACGCGCCGGCGAAACAACTTCGCGCCGATATCGAGAATCTCCACAAAGCGGTGGAATTATTGAACAAGAGCATAATGACGCAACGTGAATTGGCTACGCAGAACCTCGCCACATGGAAAGAATACGAGGACGGTATTCAGAAAATAAAACCTTGGGTCGAACAAGCGGAATCTAAAGCAGCCGCGATGGGTAGTAAACCTACGACACTAACTCAGGCCACGCAAATGCTGGAATCAGCCAGAGCTTTTGAAGTTCAGTGTCAGCAGTACCTTCCAAAAGTGCAGAGTTTGTCCACGATTAGCCACCAAATATCCGGTCGAACAGTAGCGCCTGACGAGGTCGACGCCGTGCACACGCGATGGAACGCAATTCACGACGTAGCAATGCAGACGACAACCAAGTTAGATAAATTGGTCTCGTCGTGGAATACTTTCGAGTCAGAGGCGGAGGAATTCAACGAGTGGCTGCAGAACAGCGAGAGAGAAGCTCTCAAAGAACCCAATGTACAGACACCCGAAGCCGTAAAGTTGGAAAAAGAATTAGCGCAGTTGAAAGAATTTAACAAAAGCATATCTGATCACCAAGCGCAGTTGATATCACTGACTCAAGTCTCCGATCACATCAGCCATGGCTTGTCGTTGGATGGCGCGTCCACGTTGAAGGCTCGCGTTGTCGAAATGAAGACTAGAGTGAGCAAACTCGCAGACACAGTGCGACACCATATTAACCGCGTCTCCGATTCTTTGCTGGCGCGACAGGAGTTCCAGATGAAAATCACCGACTTCGAGAATTGGATGACGCGACTGAGATCCAATATCAATGAGATCGGCGACGTAAATGTGGATAATGTCGACGCCAATTTACAAACGGTGCACGCTTATTTGCAAGAACACTCGGAGAAGCAGGCAGCATTCGCCGCGATCTACGACGAGGTGAAGCAACTGTCGTCACGGGGTTCCGTGTTGGAAGCTGCCGCGTTGGACGAGACTTATACATTCTTGGCGAAGAAGTATAAGGCGCTCGAGGACGATCTGCGGGAGAAGAAGAAAGGTTTGGAGAAGTGGATCGAGCTTCTTAGCTGGCACAATGACGCCAATGCGCAACTGAATCACTGCAAGTATGAAGCCGAGGCCAGGAAACCGACCATTGCCGACCTAGACAGACTGTCTTCGGAGCTTCAAGCCGTATACACGAAGATCTACACGTGGAAAGAACATGTTCCGCTGATGGACAGCACTCTGGGCATACATGTTCGTGACAAACAAGAGCGACCAGTAACCGCGACTACTTTATTGAACGACCTCGAGTCCAAAGCCGCTGTACTGAGAACGGAATTATCTACCAAACGCGACAAGCTGGAGAATCTCGGTGCTAAGTGGGACAATTTCAGAAAACTGCAGCAAATGATCACGGAAGAGATCGTCAGTACTCAAACGAGCCTGCAGGATATCACTTATGAGGTGGACATGTGCGAGAAACTCGCGCCAGCGATCGAGAAGATTGACGACTTGATCGAGGATCATCAGAGACGCGAGCCAGAGAAGGAGATTCTTCACCGAGAAGGCGACAACTTGATGAAGGAAGATCAGCGAGCGATAACCAACATTCAAGTGGTAGTCTCTTCTGTGGACAGCAATTGGGAGAAGGTAAATGAGCTATTGAAAGAACAGAGGAAAAAGTACGCTGAAATGGATGCCGATTGGAAGCAATATCAGGAGGCTAGAGAAAAGCTGAATAAATTCATCGTTGAAGCAAAGACTCTTTGCCAATCGGTGAGGGACGTGTCAACTGACATCACTCAAGCAAATGTGACTTTGGAAAAGCACAAGAGAGCTTCAGATATCCTGAAGAAGGGCAAACAGTTCTTGGACAAAATGGACATCAAAGCACAGCAATTGGCGAAGGAGGCATCGTTGATGCCGAATTTCAAGACGAGCCTCATTGAGTCGGATTTGTCCGACGTACGGAATAAATACCACGAGACTTACGCCAAGATAATCGATCGCACTCAAATCTACGAGACGCAGGTCATCATCTGGAAGCAGATAGAAGAGGTGAAGTATGAGCTCACGAGATGGCTCAGCGACACGAACGAGGCTCTCACCGCGGCTTGCGAGCGTTGTCTCGATACCGAGAACGGACAGACAAGATTAGCCAGATATCGCGAGGAACTGCCAGTGCATCAGCAACTTCGTCAAGGTATCGCCACGAAGACGGAGCAGCTGCTGAAGTTGAACGACGTTACGGACATACCGACTCTGAGGTCTCTCAACAATTTATTAGACGATCAGTTTAAAGTCGTTAAAGAGGCCGCGGACAAACTTGCGTCGCTCACGTCTATCTTTAACGAGAAGGAGAAAGGCATCAGGCAAGAATTGAAGAAGTGCAGCGACACGATATCAAAGATCCGCGAGGAGATAATGAAGTGCGACGACTTGACCGGCGAGAACACGAAAATCCTACATCGCATCAATAAGTGCCAAGAATTGAACACCGAGCTGGAGAAGTGTGACTACGCCTTGTCGGAGGTCAACGAGAAACTGGCAGACATGACATCAGAGTATCCCACGATATGGAAGTCAAGCTTGCCGAATGAGCTGCAGGCGGTGATGCTTCGCAGAAGCGGCGTGGGCGGCTACGCACAGAAGATCATCGCCACGTTGATAGCTTTCCTAAGTAAGCTCTATCACGAGAAATTCGGTGCCCTGCAACGCATGGTGGCGACTCATAAAGAGAAGGTAGCTTGGTGCGAGCCGGAGCAGAGCAGCGATCGTTATAACCTCGAGGTAAAGATGGCTTCATTGGCCGACGTGGAGGCTGGTATCGCCGATTGCTGTGCGCGGATAGGCGACACGGATAACTCACTGAAGCTCTTGAGCACTGTTGAGAGCAGCGAGACGATCAAGATTCTTAGAAGCGAGCGTGACAAGCTCGCGGACGACTTGGAGTCTTTGAATGCCAGTTATCGGAAGATCAAACACGTGTTGGAGCAGAACATCGATCTGTGGCAACGTTATGAGCTCACGTCGGAGAACGTGATCTCTTGGCTGAAAGAAAACGAGAATAAGATCCGCGTAGAAGCCACTACGCTTCTGAATCCAGACGAGATCGAGGCAAAGATCGCCGAAATAGTGCAGCTCGAAAGAGAGGTGAAAGACTACGATAGCGAGATGAAAGATTTAATCACGCTCGGAGAAGAGATCACTAAAGTCAGTCCCGAATCGCGTGTGTTTCAATACGTCGGACACTTAAACACACGTTACCAATCCGTGCTGAAGTTCCTGGCCCAACATCTGGATAGACTCAGGGAACTGCAGCAGATCAGATCTCAGTACATCGCTAATGTGAAGGAGCTGGAATCCTGGTTACAGAATGCAGAACAGAAGTTGAAGGTCTTCGACGAAATCAGTGGCCCAAAGCCGATGACTTTCTATCAGTCCCGATTGAAGGAGTTGAAAGCGTTTGGAGAGGAACGTGAGACCGGCCAAATGATTTTAAATCGCACTGCGGAAACGGGCGAAACACTTTTCGCAAGAATTACGCCGGATCACAGAGAAGTCATCAGAGGCGAGCTGAAGAACTTGCGCAATCGCGTGGAGGCCTTGGCCGATCGCACGAACGTGAATTACAAGAAAATCGAGAGCGACATGATGCATAGATCGTCCTTCGAGGACAAGTATTCGCAGGTAAAGCAGTGGGTAATTGAGGCGCGGAAGAAGTTGGGAGACAAGCAAGATCTGTTGCCAACGCTTCAAGAGAAGAAGCTCGCCCTGCACATGTACAAAGCTATCGCACAAGACGTTGGGGTTCATAGAAATATTCTGCAACAACTTCAAGACAGACTTGGAGCGACGCCGGACGACGAAGCTAGCGAGATGCTCAACAGTGTAATCCAAGCGCACGAGAAACTATCGGAGGACGTGGAAGATAGGATCAACGTGACGGAGAAGCATGTCGCCAATCACGAGGCGTATCTTCAGACATTCGAGAAGACGCAAGACTGGATCAACACGGTGGTAAACGAGGCGGTATCGATCAGCGAGGATCTCTCGATTGATCGGGACACAGCCAAGTCCAAGATCGTTTTGATTGAGAACGTGCTACAGCAGAAACCCGAAGGCGAGAGGATCTTGGACGATTGCAATCAGCAATTGAACATCATTCTGGAGCAAACGTCCATAGCGGGTCATCCCGCGTTGCTAAGGGGTTTCGAGCAGCAGAAGAAAATCTGGGAAGATTTCCTGCAGCGATGCATCGCGAGCAAAAACCGATTGAACCGCCTGTTCGACCAATGGTCCGAGTTCGAGAAGCTCGTCGAACGTCTAGAGTCTTGGATCAAGCAGATCGAGACGCAGGTGAAAGATCAAAGTTTAAAGAGCACCGAAGAAGCGAAACGAGCGCACTTGCAGAAGCTGAAGTCCCTCGAGGAGACTATCGTGGCGAAGAGCGCGGAGTTCAACATGGCGGTCGAGAAAAGCCAAGGTGTGGAAGCGGAATCCGACTTGGCCACCAGGGTATCTCGTCAGGCTACCAAGTATCAGGCGATCAGAAATCAAGCGAAGGAGACGGTGGCGAGATATGAGCAGTTCGTGAAAGAGCACAACCTGTTCAACGAGAAATACAATGAATTCTTAAAATATATCACTGATATGCAAGACGAGCTGAAGAAATACAGCGAGATTGTTGGAGATCTCGCCGTGTTGCAGAGTAGGCAGAAGCACATCAGGTTGCTCGGCGACACCAGAACTTATGAGAACGCTCGCTTTGAATCCGTCATCGACCTCGGGGAGAAACTGTATGTGCATACTTCGCCGGAGGGTAGAGAGATAGTTCGGCAGCAACTAAGAAATTTACGCAGTCTGTGGGACGGATTTTCCGAAGATCTGCAGAGCTCGACGCAGAAGCTGGATCAGTGCCTGATGCAGTTTGCGGAGTTCTCGTTGTCCCAAGAGCAGCTGACCGCTTGGTTGCGAGACGTCGAACGCGCAATGCATCAACACACGGAGCTGAAATCTTCCCTGGAGGAGAAACGAGCGCAGCTGCAGAATCACAAGATCATGCACCAAGAGATCATGTCGCATCAGACGTTAGTGGAGTCGGTTTGCGATAAGGCGCAACAGTTGGTGGACCAAACCAAAGACACATCTTTAAACGTCTACCTGCAGTCCATCAAGCAACTCTTCCAAAACATCGTTGCCAAGTCGCGTGATTTATTAGAGAATCTGGAAGATTGCTGCGAGAAGCATCACCGTTTCAATCTTCAGTGCAAGTGCTTCTCCGATTGGTTAAACGGAGAACGCGGCAAGCTGGCGGAATACAACGACGTGACGGGCGAACGATCTGAGATCTCGCGCAGAATGACCAGCTTGGCGGTATTGAAGGACGGCCAGGCGCAAGGAACAGAACACCTTGCGCGATTGAAGGAACTGAGTGAAGCCGTAACTAACAGCACCGCGCCGAAGGGCCGAGAAATCATCAGCAAGGAAGTAATCACCCTGGAAAACAATCTGCGCCAATTCTTGCATGAAATCGGTAAATATCTATTGTACATAAACTTTCCTCTTGTGAGCTTAATTTAATTTACTTTTATTTATTTAATTATCATTGTTATCATTTATCTTCAACAACCGCTTTGATGTTGAAATCGTATTTTCAGAATCCGTAGAAGAGAGACAGAAGACGGCGTTAGAGAGATGGCAGAACTTCGAGGATCAATTGGAAGCTCACACAAAGTGGTTCCGCTCTATGGAAGCAGCTTTTCGGGATCAACAGCTGCAGCCCACGTTAAAAGACAAGGAAGAGCGACTGCGCGCGTTTAAGGAGAAGCGCGAGATCATCGCGCGACAGGAACGGGAGATAGACGAGTTCGTGGATAAGTCGCACGGTTTATTGCATACGAGTGGTATCGAACGCATTAAACCACTGATCTCCCAAGTTAGCAACAGGTATGTTGAATCATTCTCCATAAGAGAGGAGACCGTTGTTCTCACGCCGAAACACGATTTCATGTACAGATATCAATTGCTGCACGTACTCAGTAAGGAAGTGATAAACCGTTGCCAAAGCGTCGTGGACGATCACCGCGCTTACGAGGAGAAACTGAAGGCCATTGACGTTTGGCTCACTCCTCTTGAGCAAAACTTGGCGATCCTGAGGAAGGAAGAGATGGGCGGCGATCTTGAGGCAAGAAATTCCCGGTTACAGATGTTACTGGCTGAGAAGGAACTGGCTGAACATCGCTTGGCCAGTTTGACGTCCACTGGAGAAAGAATTCTTCCAGACACTTCTGCTCAGGGTCGCGAAGTAATTAGACAAGAATTGCGACATGCTCGCGAAAGGTGGGATCGTTTGGCAGAAGGCATCACCGAGCAACAGAAGAAGCAGGACGCCCAGTCCTTGCAATGGACCAGCTACCAAGAGACGCTGCAGCAAATTTTGGCTTGGTTGGAGATGATGGAGCGTGCAGTTAAACAGGATTCGTCGATTGTGTGGTCTTCTTTGCAGGAGATAAGATCAAAACTGATCAAGCTGAAGGTTAATATATTCAATCTTCCTTCTTTTACTATTTTTATTATTAATTGAATATAAGAAGAAAAGAGGTAATATAAAAAGCATTAGTTGTAGATTGATGAATTTTGTTTCAGACATTGCATCAAGAGATCCTGGCTCACAAACGTATCATCGAAGGCATTGCCGAAAAAGCCAACACTCTGGTTCAAGTTACCCAAGTCCCGTCGGACGTTCACGAAAAAGTCATTTCGGTGTCGAAAAGATACGAGGCCCTAGTGGACGTGTCTCAGAAAGGAATATCTAACTTGGAAGCGTTGCTCGACATCTTCCAACAGTTCCACGATTTTCAAAAGAGTTACCAAGATTATCAAAAACGTCAGTGGGAACGTTTGGCGAATTACAGCGATTATACGGGCAATAAGGCCGCTCTTCAAGCCCGATTAGCTAAAGTTCTGGAAATACAAGACGGTCAAAGCGAAGGTGAATTGAAGCTTAACGTCCTCAGTGAACACGTGGAGCAAAGTTCGCGTAGTTTACCACCTCGACCGCAGGAATCGATGGAACGAGATTTAGCCAATCTTAAGTGAGTATTCTTTAAAATATTTAACCCTTCGTATACACATTTACTTTTTCAACCTTCGCATACACACTGGGTGGTTGCCATCCATGGCAATTTTCAAACAACTGTATCTTTTAAAATATTTATGCTAAAATTCTGAAAAAATTCATGGATTAACTTTAATGTTTATAGAAAGTATTTACATACTTTTGGTATTAAAATTTAAGAAATTTCATGTTAAAAAAAAAGATTATATTTCGCGATTTCAAAAAAAGTGAGTTTTTGCAAAAAAATTTGTAACTTGTAATTTTTATTATTTTTAAGAAAAAATTTAGCATTTTATTGTTGAAACGTTTATCTTTAAGAAAAAAATTGTCTCGTAAGTTATCTCTGGAAAAAGTATATTTATTTTGAATATCAAAGTTCCATTATTTTCACTTCAGACGGCTGCCAGAAGCTAACTAACGCTTATTTTGCTAGCAGAGTGGAATCAAAGCATAGTTAAGACCCCAAACTACGATTAGATGGCGACACTAGTTCCATTTATTACGGTACTTAAAAGATACAGAGCGCTGAATTTTAGTTATGAGTGGTAACCACCCAGTATGTATACGAAGGATTAAAGAAAAATTATAAAAAAGAACTTGCTCTAATTGTAGCGGACACGTCCCTGACGCGGCGTGTGATCATAAATTTTTGTTCAAGTTTGCTTTATGGAATGAACTCGCCGCACTGCCCTAGCGCGGCGTGCGGTTACAGATTTTGTTCAAGGCCCTTATTCTTGAAATAGTTGCGTATACGTAAGTTTTACTGCGCAGTAAAACTTATGTATATGCAACTATTTCAAGAATAAGGCCCAGGTTCGTTTCGGTTTGATCAATAAAAACAAATGATTGTTTCGGTGAGCAAGAAAACGTAGAGAAGAGTTGTATCTCTTCGACACCGAAATGACTTTTGGAGAGTTTACTTTCTACTAACCATTAACCTGGGATAAAGGATTATGGTTGGAATCGGAGCACGGGATCGGGGCTTGATCCTTGCGTCCGACCTGGGGCCTCGATGATCTCAAGATCGAGAGATCAGCGTGCACGGGGAGATCAGAGAGTCGACCCGTGGCTGCCGGAGGATACAGCCGTTGTCTTGTTGTGTCAACAAAGAAAGAGAAAAGGGCATTTGTTTGGGACAGGGCTCGCGAGCGCCGTGTTTTCAAAATTCGCTAGCGCCTTGGCGCGCGAGGGGAGAGAATCAGTCGAGCTCGAGCCTTCCGGTCGATGCCTTCGAGTGAGAGTTGCCTCCCCCTTACACTAACATTTGTACAATTATTATTAGGTGGTAAACTTAGTTCCTGAGGTTTTTTTGTTTAAAAAACTCATTTATTTTGACATCAAAAGCAAAAAATACATTAATCGAAGTATTTTCCCTCGCTACCTATACATTTTTCCCATCTTTCGGGCAACGCGTAGATTCCGCGACGATAGAACGATTGGTCTTTTGATGCAATCTATTCGTCGATCCATTTTCGCACATACTCGTAATTTCTGAAGTGTGTATCCACCAAGTCGTGCTGCATCGACCGGAACAAGTAATAGTCCGAAGGAGCTAAGTCTGGTGAATACGCTGGGTGCGGGAAAACTTCCCACTCGAGCTGCATCAGTGTTTCTTTGACGGCTTTGGCAACGTGTGGTCGAGCGTTGTCGTGCAAAAGCATGACTTTACGTCGATTGCTGGCTACTGCTGGCCTTTTTTCCAACAATGCTTCATTCAGACGGTTTAATTGTGATTGATATCGATCCCCCGTGATACTTTCGTTCGGTCTGAGTAGCTCATAATAAACGACGCCGTGCATATCCCACCAAATGCAAAGCATTGCTTTGTGGCCATGAATATTTCTCTTTGGTGTGGATGTCGATGGTTGGCCAGGGTCTACCCATGATTTTCTTCGTTTAGGATTATCGAAGTATATCCATTTTTCATCGCCAGTCACTATGCGCCACAAAAAACTCTTCTTTTTCTGCCTGGCGAGTAGAGAAGTAGAGATGTTTAAGCGATTCGCAATGGCAGTTGCGGTTAATTCGTGTGGTACCCATTTTCCCTCCTTTTGAATTTTTCCCATTGCATGTAGACGTTTGGAAACAGCCATCGGAGTAACATTTAATGCTGCAGACAATTCTTGGAGCGTTTGAGTAGAGTTTTCGTCCAATAATGCCTGCAAATCGGTGTCTTCAAACTTTTTCGGTTGGCCTGAGCGTTCTTTATCATTGACATCAAAATCACCACTCTTAAATCGCTGAAACCATACTTGGCATGTTCTTTCCGATGGAGCATAATTGCCATAAGCTTCGAAAAGCAATTTATGAGCTGCAGCTGCAGTTTTTTTCAAGTCAAAGTAATGAAGCAGCACATGTCGAAAAAACAACTTATCACGTTCCATATTTAATCAAAAGAAAAAATAGCACTGCTCGCTTAAATGAATCTCTTCGCACTGAATTTTATTGACAAATGTCTAACCTCTAAAATGCAGCCAGTTTCAGATGTCAAAATAAATTACACCTACAACTAACGTCATCTAACTGTGAGCCGCAGGAACTAAGTTTACCACCTAATATATCACTTTAAGGGGACTGGAGAGTCAGAAAGTTGCCTGAAAATCGTGCTTGTTTGTTCATAATTTTTTATGACAAACTGAATAAATATGCGAAAGTGTTATTTTGACGTGTATTTATACAACATATAAAGAGAAGAAAAATATAATTTTAATGATCAAATATTCAATATAAGAGTATGGTACATGCAGTTAAAATATATTTCGTTTTATTCGTCGTCATTTTGCAGTAATATCTTGACTCTTGGTGGTTCAATTAAGCTGAATTTTAGATAGAAAATTTCTGTAAGCTTGTCGTTATCGTGTGAATCACTATAATAGAAATTGAGTAAAAGTTAACAAA